AAAAAGTGTGTGTGGCCAGCTTAAAGCGTCGTCTACAATGGCAGCAGAAGTATACAGTAAGACGTAAGACGTAAGCAGTAAGTTATTATTGACTAATGAAATTTTTACAATTCAAGAATAATTGACTGTGGTTGGTCAATAGCTTACTGCTTACATCTCACTGCATACTCCTGCTGCCATTGTAGACGACGCTTAAGGGCCCGGACACACACTTTTTCGTAACAGTAACAGTAGGATTTCGACCAATCGTGTTACTCGATTCGGGAACGTACGGCCGTACGTTTTCGAATCGAGCAACGCGATTGGTCGAAATCCTACTGTTACTGTTACGAAAAAGTGTGTCCGGGCCCTAAAGCCTGGTCTACAATGGATGTATTAAGTCGTAAGTCGTAAGAATTGGCCAATCACAGTCGATTATTCTCCTCAAAATCGATTGTGATTGGCCAATTCTTACGACTACGACTTAATACATCCATTGTAGACCAGGCTTAAAAAGGCCTTCACACACGAATAGAGACCTTTAAGAGGGAAGAAGAGGGAAATAGTCGACTCTGATTAGTGGATTTTTTTACGATTTACGTCTTACGTCTTCCGTCGTGTCGTGTGTCCGGGGCTTAGGGCCCGGACACACACTTTTTCGTAACAGTAAACGTACGGTCGTACGTTCCCGAATCGAGTAACACGATTGGTCGAAATCCTACTGTTACTGTTACAAAAAAGTGTGTGTGGCCAGCTTTAAGGGCCAAAGCACATATGACAGTCGTAGTCGTGGACGTAAGTAACGCACAAGCTTTGGCGTATCCTGATTTGTCAGGTTGAGGACTACGACTGTCGTATATCGCTACGCCATGTTATGTGCTTTGGCTCTAACGCACAAGCTTTGGCGTATCCTGATCTGTCAGGTCGGGGACTACGACCGTCGTATATCGCTACGCCATGTTATGTGCTTTGGCCCTAAGATTACCTCTTTTCCGCGATTCTGTCTTAAGAAAAGGAAAAAATAAATCTAGTTGCGTCAGTTAATTTTAAATAATGTTTATATAAACGACACTCTGAGAGTGCATTAAACTTTTTGGGGATTTTAGGTATTGGAAAACGGTATTAATGAAAGGGAATCGTTTTTCTGCATCGTGTTATTTAGAAATATTTTTAGTACACAAAATGTTCATAAAGAATATTCTTAAAAAATTGTTTTGCGACTTACATAATAAAAGAATTATACATATATTAGTATCTGCGTATCTTAATAATCTATAAAACTTTTATCTCCAAAGTTTGTTCAATAATATACACGTTGCAATGCACAATCCACCAAACGAAACGCTATACAGTACATAAGAATGCTTGCGGCTTTTGCTAGGCTGTAAAAAGAAGGTTTAGTTTAGGCGTTTTTGAACATGGATGCAAACCTAAAAATTGGATAAAATCAGATAAAAGTTTCATACAGTTTGCCAAGTTCTTATCGCGAGATGTTCAATTTTTACAACCTTTTAACTTGGAGAAATGTATACAAGGTGTTTGATAACACTATACAATAAAAAAAGCACAAGAACGAACCTTGCAGCATTTGATAGTTTTTTGGACGCAGAAAACGATCCCGTTTGTTAAATTGCTCTATCACGTCACAATTTTGAAATATTTACAGTTAAAGTTGCAAAAAATGGGCTATTTTAGTGTATTTTGGCATATTGTAACTACGATATGTGACGTATCGGAGAAGTTTAATCGCAATCAAAATTAAGTATGTTGTTAGGACTTTTAGCCCTTAAAAGGAATTTGTTGTGTCGCTTATGGTTAAAAAGATATTGTTGATTAACGTAGAGTCTATTGCGTCAAAATTGCGACTTACATAGCTAAAGGATAGATGAAATATTTTTCGGGATCATTTTCTGCATCCAAAAAACTATCAAATGCCGCAAGGCTCGTTCTTGTGCTCGAAAAAAAAGTAATTTTTTGTTGTACAGTGTAATAAGGTCTAGCACCGCTCGTGGAGAGATAGAACGGGTTTAACTGAATAGAAAAGTCCTCTATCGTTTTGTGATTTTCGCAATAATTATTGAGAAATTAAATAATTAAGAATTGCGAATGAGCGTGTATATGTGCGATTCAACAGCAAAAGACAGCTCTGCATTATGCATTATTGCGGTTGTTGCTAGAAGCGCATTCCTTCCATTGCCTCGACGCGTGCATAGCAACCGCAATTAATGCTCAGTGCTGTCTCTTGTCAGTGCTGTCTCTGAAAGATAATAAATTTCTCGTTTATTATTGTAAAAATCGCAAAAATGGTAGATTTTTCTATTCAGTTAACCCGCTCTATACCTGCCCAACTACTACATTATTACACCTATTATTACACTTATTACACTGTTTAACAAAATATTACTTTTTTTTCGAGCACAAGAATTACAATTTCTTGGACGTATACGATCCGTTTGCCAAATTGCTCTATCACGTCACAATTTTGAGAAATTTGCAGTAAAGTTGCAAAAAGGACTATTTTAGTGTATTTGCGGTATAATATTATAACTACAATATATGTGACGTGTTGGAGAAGTTTTATTGAAATCAAAATGAAGTATGTTGCGACTTAAACCATATTCTATGAAATATTTTTTAATTATGTTATTCAAACTTAAAAGAGATTTTTTAGGACGCTGAATATTAATATAATGTCGAAGTTGATTTTTTGTTTTAATATCCGCCATATTAGCTCCGTCATTTTGAATTTATCAACTTCGACATCAGATTATTATAGTATTCAGCGACATGAAAAACTCTTAAGTATAGACAACATAATTAATGAATCAACTTTGACGCTCTTTGATACTTGAATCAACTTTGATACTCTACATTAATCATTAATATCATTTAACCATAATCGACACAATAAATTCCTTTTAAAGGCAGAAAGTCCTAACAACATACATACATGTCGTAGTTATAATATAAAACAAAAAATATACTAAATTATATGGTAGTTTATAATATTAAAACAAAATAAAATAGTCCTTTTTGCAATTTTAACGGCAAATTTCTCAAAATTGTGACGTGACAGAGCAATTTTGTAAACGGAATCATATTCAGCATCCAAAAAACTACGGAAAACAATTATTCTCTTTTTTACATTTTTTTGTTGAACAGTGTTATCAGACATCCAGGATATAAGTGTAACATATTCGTTGATATACCGTAACTATCACAGCTTCCAATTCTTTCAACTTTAACTCAGCCTCATCGACTTCTTTAAGGGCGGCGTCGGCGGCCAAACACAGAATTTGAGAAGCACTCAAAGCCTTATCTGGCTCGACAAAAAAGTTGATTCTTTCTTTTCTCAACTTCATTCGGCAGTATTTCACAAAGTCTTGAATTATACTGAGTTGTCTCTCACCCAGCTGCAGTATCTCCACCTTATCAGATATCCTTTAAAAAAAAGACAGGACTTTTCAGTTTTAATATTACATCTAAAAATAAGAATAACGATTCGATACCTGTGATGAGGTTTCGCCTTTGTACTGTATGTCTTTTTCTTGGAGATACATAGAGCATTGACTATATTTTCTGCCTGATCTTTATCAGCACCTACAAATAATCCTTTATTATTGCTTTTGCATTTTTAATTTTTCTTTCTATTCTAACTTTTTCTCAGCCAATTTTGATACCTTTTTATGTAAGGATGAGTAAAAGCCATAGTGGTGTAAGTCAAATTTTTTTAGATATTGACTCGTATGCATAGATGCAATCTATACAATATATAAATTGCATCTATGTGCACACGAATCAATATTTTACTATGGCATTTATCCCTCCATATGTACATTGTTCACACACCACAAGAAAAAGTAAAACATATAATTTTGCATGTAATTTTGATGTTATATCAATTTCTAAATAACTGTTGTTTATACCAATAGAAAGTAATCCAAATAAAAATTTTTTAATAAACCGTATTCAACATTAGAGATTGGCAATTAGAGGTCTTGCAATTTTTTTTATTATAAAAGACTGAATCCTTCTAGATTCCGTGGCTGTAAAGAGTTGGAAATTATATTTCAAAATAATTGTAATCCACTTTGCACGCCGGCAGATCTTGTATATGTACAAACTTTAACCTAATATTTAATTTTTATAGAATTTTTACCGAAATGTCATGTATGATCAAATCACACGAATTAAAATCTCTGTAAGTAGAACGTGTTACAATAAAACAGTGACGCATTTGTCAGAATAAACGTATTACCAAGTTGCACAAAATCCTCCTTGGTTAACTTATGCAACGCGTCGGTTGATATGTTTCTCCTTTGAAACTCTTTTATTAAATCGTGTGCCCCCACGCCGCGTAATAACGTCTCAGTCTGCTTGGTAAATCCCAGAAGATCAAGATCCGTGCCCATTTTTCTGCAAGGTGGAACCGTGGAAAGATTTCATTCGAGAAAAACGAGAAAAACTATCAGAGCTTCGAAATTCCGCAGCCACTGTGCTTCCCTGTTGTAAACAAACGATACAAACATTAAATTATAGAAGTGCGTTCCTTTACCGACGACAGCTTATTAGCATTTAACTTAGCAACCACAGGTATTATAAAATTAAAAATATGTGTTGACGAGAAAAATCTGAAATATATTTTATTATTTTGTCAGAATTTTTTCTGGAAAAAAACTGTTCCATTTCGTATAAAAAAATTTGAAAAATTCTGAGCAAGTCTAAAAATTTTTATAGGAATTCTAATTAATATTATAATTAATATATGACAAAATCTGTGCAGTTTATCAAAAATTTAAAATTTTCATATAACGGATACTGAAATATTCTGAAAATCCTTATCCAATTATTTCTGAAAGTATTTGAGAAATTTTATATTTTTTCAGAATTTTTCATAAGTCAATTCTTAAAAAATTTCTGAGAAAATATATAAGAAACTTTTTCATCGATCATATTATAAAGAAAATTAATAATAGAAAAAAAACCGCATTAAATTACGACATCTGTTTTACCGGCAGTCGGTAAGATAGATTCTGCAGTGCGCTGTTTTGAGACGCGTCAAGTCAGCTGCGAACAGCTGCGAAGCCTACGGTCCTCAGTCCTGATAGTATGATGTAGTAGAAACACGCGCTATAGCTAAATATACATCCCCGTTTTGACAGTTCTCCACATCATCGTTCTTTCCCGTTCTCTCTCCCGGAGGTATGACCACCTTGATCCTTGGCGTCGGTGTGGGCTTATTCATCATCCTCAGTCTGTGGGTGCTGGCCGCACTGATATTCGTGATATCGCTGCGCGTCGAGAGGAAGGTCGGCGCGATCGCGATACTGCTCGTGAGCGCGCTCACGATTATCTTGATCAGTGTGCCGCGCGCATCGGAGAAGCCTGCTCCCGCGAGCAGTAAGGTATGATATATTGGATGTATTTTATCGTGGATGAAATCGAGGAGTTGCGTTTAAACATCACGGCGGTGTGGTCTCTCCAGTCGTTCCGACTGACCCGATTCGTACGATACCTAGTACGATCCGATTACGCACCAACGAGACGATCTCGACTGAACCTATATCAACTTGATCGACTCGTCTCGAGCAGTACTTAATACCTATATTTTCTATAAGTATTTTCTTAGTCTGAATGGAATTGTTGGTTTTTTGGTTAAAAAGAACGGTTAGGAGGGACGAGTAATCTAATCAGGAATTTTGCTGTGAGCAATTGTCGAATTAGTCGCCGTTAAGTTAATCGGAGTTTAGTAGAGTTCATCCAAATTGCTTCATTGACATAAGTCGCTTTCATTGATTAACATAATCTACCTACTTTGCAAAAGATGCTTTAAAATCTAAAGTTTTTAATTTTCCACAATTGGCTATAATTTAATTATAATAATTTATCTCTGTGTCTTTATTTTTTGTATTCCTTAATTTTTTTCTATTATAATTATTTAATTAATGTCGTATTATAATTAAAATAGATATTAGAATAAAAATAGTATATTGAACCAGGAGTCATCTATATTGAAAAAAAAATTATATAATTGACCATTTACAGAATATCTAAATGGATCTTTGTTTTATAGGTGTACGATCGACTTTTTGTCTGGCGTGTAATACTTCTGATCCTGTTATTTGTCTCGTCCATAATTTCCCTTGTGGGATATATCAAATTTGGGGTGGTGGAAGCTGTCAGACCAGTCAGGATAACCAGCTGGGTTCTCTAAGTGCAGCTTCTTCGGTATGTTTTAAATTAATAATGCAATGAGGACTTATTACTAAGATAAAATTGAAATAAAACTTGTACATACTGTTAGATATAATTGATCATCGTAACAATTATCTTTTCAGGTACTCTTCCTTGCCGACAAGTATGAAGATGTTCAATATATGCAAGACTTAATTTATAGATGTAAAGCTCATCTCTTCGCATATACGTAGTCATTGACTGTTAATGTATTATAAATTACATTTAAAAAAAGAAGGGAAAAGAAAAAAATAGGAACAATGTTGTGCGGTATAAGACATTGCATGCCGTCTGTAGTGAGACGTATTTCATTATTTCGTCAGAATAATAAGCGGTACGAGATAAATAATAATAACGAGTTTGTGAACAAGGTGATGAACGGCACTGTGCCAGTTATAGTCAATTTTCACGCGGAATGGTGCGACCCGTGTAAGATATTGACACCCAAGTTAATAGAACTTATAGAGCCTATGGACAAGTTAGATCTGGCCATAGTTGATGTAGAAGAAAATCCTGAACTGGTGCACGTCTTCGAGGTGAAAGCCGTACCCGCAGTGATAGCGATTTCGAATGGCTTAGTCGTAGACAAATTTATCGGTTTAGTCAATACTGAGATGATAGAGAGTTTAATACAAAAGCTAACGCACGAAGGACCAACGACTACGGAAAGTAGCGATACCAAGTCGTAGTCATGACAACACAGTAAATTGTATAATACACACTTTATGCTTCCATTTCTCTCTATCAATTAAATGTATTTTCATACTTGTAGAGAGAGAATGTAACATTTCAAAGCTACTTCGTCCAAGAATTATGGCCTTTTTTTATCTAATCATGCTCAGATAAGCACTGTAGGTAAAAATTTATATATATATATATATATATATATATATATATATATATATATGTTGTAAAATGGCAATATAACGTTAACTGACTAACGAAGCTAATGTATATGTATTAATACTCATGAATCTGTTAATGTCCAGATTATATATTATATTGAAATATTTATACTTCTATATTCTATAACACAGAGAGCTTATTCAATAGCCTATATTCTTGAATCGACCAAAAAGATGTAGAAATTTTCCTTAAGAATCTTAAGATGTTTGAAAGATGCGAGAGACGATTCCTATATCATAGCAAAGATAGATTATAGAAGCTATTGCAAAGCCTGTAAACTTGTATGAAGCACTTGTGATATATATCTTTTTAGACACGACTTTTTTCAATATATTCTTGAGATAGCTGTTCATATCTTCACTTAATATTTATATAAGTGTCATATAAGTATAATAAAAATTACTTAACGAGTCAAACCGATAACGAATTATGTGCAATGATGATAAATTTTCAAAGTGATACGAATTGCGTTTGGACGTATAACGGTACATATTTTTAAAATACACTTTATATACATATACATATATTTTTCTGATGTAGCTTAATTTCTTTCAATAATATAATTAATAATAATGTTTTTAATAGATAATTTGTACGCTAATCTCTTAAATTGTACAAAATGTATATATATTAATTTCGGAAGTTGTTCGAGGCTGGAGGACATCAGTTACTTTAACAGTTAAATTGCGTGTGTATCTTCGTGACGGTGTGGCCGAGATAAATCATTATCTAATCAGATTTCAATTTCTCGTTTATTGTTGATCATTGTGTACAATCAGTGTACGAAAGTACTGTCCATTAAAGATATAGTAGGCCAGAGATATAATAGATTATTACTCCACATAACTCTCTGGTGAAAGAACACCCCTTTCCCCTCCCTTTTCCCCTGCGACTTTCGGCAGCAAGCGATACGTAAACGTGTTACCAACAATTAAAAGACTAGCTATAATCTTTTTTTTCATCATCAGTCAGGTGTTTTTTAAGACACCATGATAAGGCAATGCTGTGATTCTGTGGTCACTTGCAAAAAACTATCTCTTTTCTATTTGCCAAATATATATGTATATATACATATACATACATATTTTTTTTCTATACGGCAACGAACGAACGAGTTAAGTGCTTCGGATTTATGCAATTTTTGCAAGCAACCCTGCGTTTCTTATATTATTTAAATTTTAAATAACCAGTATTTACGTCTCCAACTAGTTTATAACATTTATAGTGAAACAAGTGAAGCAGTAATTGATTTACAGAGATTATATACAAAATTAGAAGAAAAAGAGGAAGAAAACAAAAACGTAATTTTCTCTGAAGAATAACATCGTAGATGCTTCATTGCCCGGCAGAGCATTATATCAGTGCATTCACGATATTCTTCGATACGTATCTAACAAGATCCATCAGACGTAAATGCACTAATGATCCTGCATGTAATTAAGTAATGCCAAGCACAAGTTCGAACGAGCTTTTGCACACAGGCGTGGAAGTGAACGAGATGACACCACTATTTCAGTGCACGCGGATATGTCCTGCCAGAGCGACTTCGTCGCCCTACAAAATTATAAGTAGAATAGATCCCGGACGCTTCGAGGTTTGCGATAATGCATGTCGCGTGACGTATATATTTACAATTTATCTACATTGCTTACTTTTAAAAAGGAGAATCGTAACAAAATGTAGAAAAACACGAATGATACTTTTATATACAATTATCCTATCGACGCTGCTTGTTGTTGTACGTTGCGTTATGATCTATACAGCAACAGTAAGTTTAAAAAAAGGTTCCCTCTCGTTTATATAATACATTATTACATATTCGGAAATAATATACTTCTACTCGGTGACTCATTCTTTTCCTTTTATCTTTTCATTCAACCGCCAAAAATATATACTGCATTTACAGTATAAATCAGCAATTATCGACGCATTTACATTACAGATTAGTGGAAGAGGAACGCGCCCAGACGCTACCTTTTCTCTATTAACCAATAGTAAATAATCTAGATATTATTGGGCAACAAGTAACATCTGCTCCGTTCCATAAATGAACTAATATATCATCATATCATATACAGTATGTATGGTACAACATGATACAATTCGGTTTGCATTGAATAACTTGGCGATTGGCGTTTTTTACCTTCTCATGCAACTCGCGAGAAATAACAATATACGTATCTGCGATACTTACAAGGTGACAAAATATTCTTATATATATATATATATATATATATATATATATATATATATATATCTCTCTCTCTCTCTCTCTCTCTCTCCCCCTCTCTCTCCGTACACACACGCACACGCACGCACACACACACGCATACGACATGCACACACACACAATCTACAATTCTTGCAATATATCTACGTTTCGCGTCGTAATGTCCGATGAGCGAAACTAAAGCGATTCAACGACGATCAAGATGGAAAGCGAGAATATCATCGAATCGATCTACGAAACTTCTAAGTACAATATCAACAAAAAAATGTAGATGTAATCGGAAGGATGTGCGGTGACAACATGCTAAGACACGGAGAAGGTTCCAATTCTACAGTGAAACAAATAAAAAAATATCATGGACTCCCCAATACCTTGGAAAAAAAAGACGTTGCGACTGTAACGACAGTGAACCTTGTCAATCGAGATGAGTTAAGGATCTCACGTGATTGAGCATGTCGTTGATCCGAGTCCTTCGATTTACAATCTAATGGCGAGTATTGACTTCGTGGAAGTAGGTAGGTAACTAGCGTTCGATATCGTCAATGATATCATTTGTTCGCGTTAGAGATTAATTTCCGCGCTTTCGCGTCTTGCTGGTACCAGGCAACCTCGAGTAAGAGTCGGACCGCCGCTGGGCTGCAGCTGACGCGTATGCGCTACCGCGAGTCTGCAGGTCGGCAGAACAAGCGTACGAAAACGGTGACTGTACGTTATCGCTTCATCCGTTTCGGAGATGTTGGCTGCGTTTTGCCGAACCTCCGCTAGCTAAGCCGCTAGGTAGCAATTAAGTGTGATTGGTTAAATCCAAAGGTAAGAACCAATCACATTCAATTGCTACCTTTCGCTTCGCTAAGCAGAGGCTCGGCTGGACACGGCCGTTGTGCTAAACCTCCGCTCCCAAATCCCGCACACCTTGCTCGGCTATCGGCACATACTTGTCCTCGATCTTCACAAGCAGGATGACCTTGTCGACGTGCGACCGTCGATTGGGATCGCGATGGTTCGGCGACCAGCGATGAACCACGCAACCCTCCATACCTCTCTCTGGTACCCAATGTTGCCAGCCGGAACGACCGCCTTGCTGTCGCATCCTTTCGTCCGGCCAAATCACATCTATACGTCGGCCCAAATTGATGGCGTCGTATACTTGATTAGGGTCCATAATCTGTTTAAGGAAAACTGCCATTAATGATTCATATGTATAAAAAAAGGCATTTATAATATCTCTTTCGTATACCAATCAGATAGCAACTGATAATATCAAATAATAAAGCTATAACACTTAAATTCTGACAAAACTTAGCATAAAATAAAATTTTAAAAATTGTATAAACTATTCACTTTTTTTAAATTTGATAGCTAAGTGGATTAATATAAATGAATGAACGTCTTTCAGACATTTTACATGTAATTTACGATAAAAGTTGATGTAAAATCGCGATGCATGCGGTGCTGCGATACACTTACGCGAACCCTTTGGAAAACTTCCTCTTTCTCTAACTTGCTGGAGAAGCTCGTCTCGCTCTTTGTTTCCATTTTAATATCGTTACTACTGAGCAGTCCGGCTAAACTGGCGAGTGTCGAGCTGGTTGGCTTCCCGACGGAAGCTAGTGAGCCTCTGTTACCACCGAGAGAGCCCGTATTCGCACGACCGAGGGAACCCCGACCGGTCGAACCACCGATTTGACAGCCAGACTCCATCGATTGAGAACCGGAAGTGTTGTGACCCGATTGAGCATAGCCTACACATTCATAAATAATATATATATATATATATATATATATATATATATATATATATATATATATACAACAACGTCATATTTATATTGTATTATTCTTATATATATATATGTTGGAATTAATAATCTATAGCAAAAACATTAAAAGATCCAATTTCTTTTATGTTTCTTAAAAAATCAATGTCTATTTTATAGCAAAAAAGATTTAAAAAATAGAAACCAAACTCCTAATCTAAGTCATTGTTCGGATGTACTTTGAAAGCAGAATGACAATCAGCCAGAATACAGTTTTAAGGTTGATTGAGGATTCTTTATTCCGTACTTACTGGAAGAATATTGCCGCGCGAGAGACATATTTATAATTTTCTACTTCAATTAATTCTAAATTTAATTCGTCTATAATATTCTAGATTTATAATAATATTCTAGATAATATTCTAGATTTTTAATCCTATGTTTTACATATATAATAGTCTAATCGAGCAACGGAATAGTGCATCAGATAATTAATTGCGTCGTTGTAATCAAATAAATATTTGCAAATACCAGAGTGTATGTTATACGTAGTCATCGCGTATACTCCGTCATTTCCGAAGCCTCCATCGTCTTGGGAGCCAGTGCCGCCCGAGGAACAACCTTGACCACATCTTCGTCTTACCCTAAAAATGAGCAAAGGTATATTAACAGATTCAGAGATAATGTTTATTGCGTTGTTTACTTAAATATGAAATTAGCACAAATAAACGGTTGAGTAAAAAATTTTTTGTTTGAAACACGTACCTTCGCCACAGTTTCAACACAGTGCTCTTTATGGTGCCAAAAGTCAATGGTCCTCCGATTATCGAGCACAAGTGTTCGTTAGTCTCGGCGTAGCTAGTTGTCAAAGGGGAAACGTAAATCGGATATCCGATCGGCTGATCGCAAGAACTGTTGATTATGTTCCTCAAGGCTTGCTTGGCGTTCTGTATCGAACCACGTTCCGGATTTCTGTTCCTCAGATATACCAGCTCCTGCTGCTGGCCGGCCCAGAGTCCACGGACGCATTCGCGATTCATTTTGATTACTCGGAAACTCAAGAAACGTTTATTGAGCATTATCACTTTGTACTCGTCTATGCCGTCGTCAAGCACGTGTCTGGAAATTTCGAATGTTTATTTTAATCGCTCGATTATCCACCTTAATTGCAGCGCTTCCGCAATTTCTGTTTTGCAAGATACGAACCTGAGTGCCAATAAACTGGGTGCACCACTCAATACAGCATTTCTCCAAAGAGGATCCGCTTCATGACTGATGACGAGATTCTGATCATGATTGTCGATGGCCTCGAAGAGTGCCGCTGATTCGACATACTGTTCTGGACTCATGAAGTGGTCCTGGTGCAGTTTTAAGGCCATTCTTATCCCTTTCGCGACAACACTGCGCAGTAGATCGACATCATGCAGCACCCATTCGTCGCGAACTGATGTTATCCGGAAGTCTCCTATTGTGAGATATATACATAATATATACATAATAAATACTCTAAAAAAATATATTACATAATACATAGATAATTGCTACAAAGTCATACTATACCTTTAAATAGCGCATGCAATCCATAAAGAAAGAATTCAACGTTTGATAATGTATTATGAGATGCAGCACCTAACACGCGTCTTCCCAACAGACTTAATGAGAGGCATAGAGACACGAGATATGAATCGCGTGTTCTATCTAATGTCTGGAAAACACAATAAATTGTGAAATAATTTTCGAAGAGATTGTGAATTATATATACAAGCAGATCGACACCTCAATGCTACAATCGTCATCTTAATACTCCAATTTTTAACCCACAATTGTCACACCTCTTTTTGAACATTTTTTTGAAACATAATGCCACTCAAAAAGTTAATTTTTTATGAGAATACATTCTACAATGTTTAAACTTAATTTTAGAATTTTTTGCGATCTACTTAAATTGTTAGTTTTTGAACAGCATGCAGCTGTTTGAAAATTGGTTGGGGTCACTTTGACCCCGTGCCCGTGTGACAACCGAGAGTTAAACAATTTAATTTTTTTTTCTTTCAGCAAAATAAAATAACTATACAGCTAACGTGATTTAAACTCTTGCCTATTTACTTGTAGCACTTGCAGTATAATTGTGTTTGATGTAATTTAAGAGTAATTATCTTTCGATTTAATTTTAAATGCTGATGTACGTAGATAATTCCAAAGTTGTTAAACTACGAGTTGCGTTGTAATATTAAGGTGACGAAATAACGCGAATATTACCAATGTATCACCTTATCTTGTTTACCAGCGCAATATTGTATCCAGTCGAGATAAACATTGCAGAAGTTGCTCCGCGTGATACCGCTCGCTCGGAAATCAAAGTCCTCGTCGATCTTCACATTGAAGACAGGATCGAGATCGACGAAGTTCTTGTCGAGTGTCGGCTTCAGCGCGTCGATGATGTCCGGATTTTCCAGCCACTGCTTCAGCTTGGGCGACTTCACGGCGTAAAAGACAATACTTTTGACATAGTAAGTAACCAGTACTTTGCGAAACTCGAACACCTGCAGCATCGAGCCCGCCGAGTTGTCGGAGATCGAGTAACCCTCGAGCACGTATTTGGCGCTCGCAACTTCCCAGGCGAGCCAGCGTTGGCTGAAGGCCGCATTCACGCTAAGCACATTCGACAGATGACCCATTTCGCAGCAGCAGCAGTTGTCATTATCTTCGATGCCTTCTGAGATCGCTTCCACCTGAAGAGACACATAGACAAGTCATTAGCATTAAAGTCTAATTAAAAAAAAAGTAGTCCGAATGTAACTCTCTGTATACCTCTCTTTGCTGGCAATATGTTCCTCGAAATTCGAGACCTCTCAATTGGAACGTCACTAGTCCGTTACCTAATTGGACTATATGCACCAAGCAGTTCAAATAATCTGACGCGAGCAGGAAGCAATCGCCCTGTTCTACATTTCCCCATCGGCCGAGCGCGAGATCGCCGCACAGGCTGTGCTGGAGGGAGCGCGTGAGTTGTTCGTAAAATATCGAGTTCAGATTGTTGTCGTCAGCACCCAGATTACGCTCCAGATGCGAGGACATGCGCGTATTCGAGTGGTCCACTCTTCTGGTCTTGTAGTCCCTCTCCCAGAATTTGACCGGTCGCACATAGGATGAGATAAAGATCGCGCTGCCCAACAGCGGATTCAGGGGCGTGCTGAGCATCGCTGAGATGCCGGCTTGGAGGAAGAGCATCGCCGAGTGCGGCACGGAAAAGGGCTGGGCGAACGCATGAAACGCGCTGCCCCAAGTGATCTGCCAGGGCGCGATGTACGTGACGACGAAGCGGATCTTGAGAAGTAGCTCGTAGATCTTGGCAAACGCGATCCCCGTGACGAAGTAATCCATCAGGAAGGTTTCGCTCAAGTTGCTGAAATCGAGCTGGAAGAAGAGCACCGCGAAGACGAGAACAAGATAGCGGGTGGACGGGTCCGAGTACGCCGACCTGAGCGACTTGAGGCCGCAAATGACCACGATAAGCGCGCCTACGCTCTCACCAAACTTGTCGGCGATCTTGGACGAGCACTCGGTGAGCGCGCCCAGGAAGACAACCGGATAGAGCACGTTCCGCTCGAGAAAGCACAGGCCCACGTAGGCTTTCTCGAACCACATGATCCTCACCGGCTCCCGTACCTCGAATTGCGCGTGCTCGTGACTACGTAGTACCGGTCTCGAAAGGCACAGCCAAGGCAGCTGCTTGCGCAGCTGCGGCACGATGTAGTGCAGGAGAAAGCCCAGGCAGCTCACGATACTCCACAGTACCGGATTGAGCTCCGGTTGCAGGGCGGTGAACACCGTTGTACGATGAATTCCGAAAGACAGGGTGCCGATCACCGCGCACACGATTAGATCGTTCTTCAGTCTGGCGTTCACTGTCGAGCGTAACTTCTCCGGCAAAGGATCCACCAGCTCAGTATCTGACATTTGCTCGCCCACCTTGATCTTGACGTCTTTCTTCCTGCCGGACGTCTTGCTCTTGGTCTCCTTGTAACTCGCGGCTACGTTATCAGGCTGCGACGACGACATGTTTTCTATGATTTTGGCTTCCTTCTCCTCCGTATACCTGTCTCCTATCTCTGGTGGCCACAAATTTGTCTTGAGGATGTCCCATATCACGGTGGGATCCGAAGACGATCGGCTCAGATGATAGGATATCGCGACGAGTAGACCGACGAATATCGAGAACAAGATGTGCTGCGAGGATTTGGGCTCGAGAAGGGCGCCGTAGGCAAATCCGTAGAGGATGAGAACCGCGACCACGCTGCGGCATAGACAATACACTGATGATACCAGACTGGTGGTCGCATTGCCGCCAAACAGATGAATGTCCAGGTGTTCGCAGACGTACATGAGAAATGTGTTGATCTGCGGGAAGAGTCCTAACGAGAATACGATTGGAAAACACAGCAGGAATATTAGTAGAACGTTTCGCACTTGCAAGATGAGATCGTAATCGGCGACGCGCAATCCGTATACCCGAAAGTCGGACGATTTAAAGTTCCTAAGCGTCTCGTTGAAAATCAGAATCAGACTCGAGCACAGGATGTAGTACGCGGGCCTGGAGAACACTATAATACGATTAAAGCCGTGCGTAGGCGACGCAGCGTCGGGCTGGACCGACTTGAGGAGCGAGTATTGGCAGCCGGCCGTCACGAAGCAAAATATGAACGCAAAGATGTCCCGATAGAAGCCCTGTTGGAGCAACAGAAGACCCAGTCCTGCAACCGCACCCGCCAGAAACGTGGAGACGATGGTCTCGAACACAGTCAAATTGCGATCGAGCAGAGCCAGCAGGGCGAGACGGTCGAAGCGTATTTTAACGTGCGGCAGCCTGCCGATCTTCCACTTGTAATAGTGTCTGGTCTGCTTCGGCTTGGAATCGGAGCCGTCCAAGCCATCGACGAAGCGATTCCACGACAGACTGGTGTTTATGTCGGGTTCTTGATGCACTGGCAATGTCAGCACTGGCATGCGACCGTTGAGATCCGACTGATACTGATTCAGATTCAGATTGCCTAGCAGATTCTGCAGCCTGCGATTCCTATCGGCCATTGAATCCGAACGCGCGATCAGCGTGTGATGGAATTGCTCGCGCTCTGAATTTTCGAGTGTGCATTGATTCGAACTGCCCGTGTTCGACGAGATCAAATTTGATGGCGGTGAACTCTGCGTTTTGGTCTGATTGCTCGCCGGACTCGATAGCACCGGTGGTGTGTCGATTATCACTGTTAAACCAGCAGAATTGAGTGACAAGCTGCTGTAGCTGTTGCTCAGTGAGTCCGCGAGCTCCCAATGCGCATCATAGTGCATGTTCTGGTTGAGTTGCTGACGCAGCAAGGTGTTCAACAGCTTCTCGCTATGCGGATTAGTGGGTATTTGCGTCGCTGTCGCTGCCGCGGCAGCTGCAGCTACGTCCAGACCTTTTTCGTCGAACGTATAAGCCAACCAGTGGCCGTTATCGTCGCGAAAGTAGTGCACCGCTCCCTCTGAGGTATCATTCTGATTAGTAGCTAGATGACACTCGCCGCTCGAGATCAAGCCGAACAGCGCGGTCAACGGAACGACGTTATCGTCGCGAGTGGCAATATTGCGCGACCTAGCACGGTAAGTTCTATTGGGCCGTTTCAATCGTCCATATCTGGTCCGAAAGGTTCGCTTCTCGGAATTACGACTGAGTCGCAAATCGGATGACGTGGTGCTCGACTGACCGGGCAGATCTCGGCCGGAATTGTTCAATAACGCTGCCAGTAATGGAGATGCCGGGCCCGGCAACAATGTGCTCAACTCATTGTTCGAACCGCTTGTCTGCTCAAACTTGGCATCTCGTCTCCTGGTCCTCTCTCGTCGCACTTCGATGTAACGTTTAAGATTCTCCCGCGGCTGTTCGACGCTCGACACAATACTGTCGTCCGCAGCGTCCGACGCAGTAGGTTTTGGACGGTTCTGCTTGGGGATCGCTCCCTGATGACGCTTTGCGGTGTTGTCTACTTCCAGTTGCGGCAGCAAATTTCGCTTCACCTCGTTCTCGATACTCAGGGTTGTTGTACTGGACGATCCCGAATCAGGCTCTTTAGAATGAAGATCTACGCAAATTAGCATACAACCGTATTTTATTGCTTTCGTCGATTCTACAGTTTATGATCAATGCTAGAAGATCGATCACCTTTGATTGAACTTTATTCGTCAAGCTCGCATAGTGAATTGAGAATCATGCGCGAAGCTATATGAAGCGCTAATTGTGCGGTATGCTCATCTGTCAATTGACTGTCGTATTAAAAAATGTTTTTTGACTTAATAGTGATCTCCCCGACACGATTAGACCCTAACTCTATAGTGCGTCCAACTTACAATCTGTACTAGCCGTCTGTAGGCTTTCTGACGTATCCGTATCATCAGAGCGAGTGAAAGTCCAAAATACTGGCAGCACAAATTAGAACAACGTAACAATATAAGCTTGCAAATAGCGAAAAATAATTCGACCAAATCACTTTTTACCTACAAAAAAAAATCAGTGCGTTTCCATACGCTGAACTTACTCTTACTTGCCCACGGTTCCACCGAACAATCCCCGCTCTCGAACAACCAATCTATTCCGACTATACTCCCCGAGTTGAGCGGATCTTCCATGTTTTTGGATCTATCCCGCCTTTTCTCCTTACATTTCTCACCGTCTAAAAACTCATGGCCGCTCTGATTGGTGTTGCTATACCTCCGTTTCACTCCTCTAGACTTTGATTCCTCTAGTAAAGCATCTCGAGAATTTGCTGAGTTACTATCTATTCCGTTGTCGTCGTTAAACCTAGAAGATAATAATAATAATCAATAAAATTGTATTGATATATTAGCATTAAAGTTATATTGAATGGTATATATTAGTACCTCGAGAATCTATCTTCAAACCTGCCAGCACTGAGACTTCTATCTCGATTAGACGTAGCGCTCACATTACTTATATTTTTTCGCGTTAGTAATGGACTGTAGGAGTCGCACAGGCTGAATTCTTCCGAACTCTCATTGGCAAATTGTTCGTCGCTCTGCTCTGCTATCGGGTAAACTATCTCGGACCCGAAACTAAGATACGGTAAGAGCTGTAGTTGGTTTCTCTTCAGTGTGTTTTGGGGTAAGACCTACAATGTTCATTTTTATTCAGACATTGTAAATGCGCATCTTTCATGGAAAAATACTCATAACAAAATATTTTAAGACAATTTGCTAGTACCTTTTTGGTATTAATTGTTTCAAGACTTTGGGGATGAAGAGGCAGGTTATTATCGTCATTGTTACTTATATTTTTACTAGTGGCACCAATTGTTTCGAGACTTTGCGGATGTACCAGTTGCTGATGTGGTTTCTTGGTAATAACCTTAAGATTTAAAGTATAATGTTTTTTAGTGCTTGCTAGGGACAAGGCGTTCAAGATTTCAAACATTATTTACATTCGATTATTCAACTATGAGATTTATAACTAGCCGGAGATTTACCTCTAACGATTGCGGATGAGACGAGATCTTATTGTTGTCCGTATCCCCCTTCTTCGATATGATTTCTAAGCTCTGTGGATGATCGTTCGTCAAACGTGCTTTTGGTATGGAGTTGGAGTTAAGCCTGCGGACGCTTCGATTGAACATCCAGTATGGATAATCGTCGCCGATATGGCGATGATTTGTCAATTCTAACGAACTGGTCTGCTTTATTTGGCTTTCGGATCCCGTTTTACCGAGATTGCTTTGTTTAGAGTGTCGAATTCTAGACTCCTCGGACGAATGCCGACATAATTTACGCGATCCCGGTCGATCTTCCTCCGCTATTACCACACACTTTTGCCGCTTTAATTTCCATTCTGTACATAAATATCAATCACTTTAGTACTAATCATTTCTCTATTTTAACCTTCGCATATATTATTAGATATGTTAAACTTTATTACCATTTATAATGTTTTTAGAACGTGGCTCGTGATATTGCGCGGAAACTAATTCAGCTTCGTGCACGTTAATGCTGGTTATCATCGGTTTACTAAGCTGTTGCGCCTCTTCCGAGCTTTCCGAACTGTTTTTCCTATGTATCTCGACCTTTAAATCTATGGTCGAACTAGCTTTATCCCGAGTATATTCAGACGTTATACTATCTGCGTCGGAATTTTGTATATTTGGTTCAATAAACGAGTTACGTGATGAACATTCTACAGGTGGGGTGTCCGTTTTACCTACACAGACAGATTATAAAATATATATAGTAAAAAGTTGCTCTCTCAAGCAAAGTGACATATGAATGCTATAAAATTGGTGACAAAGAAGTAAAGATTTACATGAAAAATGTTAATATTAATGTTTAAAAATTGTATATTATAAATAAGAATTTTTATGTTAAATGGAATAAAATATTGGAATAAATTCTCATAATAATTTTATTTATTAAGTAGCTTAAATTCAATCGTTGAATAAAAAATCAAAATATAGATAAATCAGTTCTTTGTAAATCTTTGAAGCAAAACTAATTGATTATCTCTCACAAAATAAATTTTATAAATTATTGTACAATATGTTTAATTATTTTATAGGCATGGCTTTGTGTGAGAGTAGTTGACTCATAGTTATGGTGACCATACGTCCTTTATTATAAAGGACAGTTCTTTATTTCAAGTAGCTGTCCTTTAGATTTATTTATTTTTTCAAAACTCAATTTTGTCCCCTATTTTCTCTCAGAAAATATAGTAACTATTCTTATACATATGGTAACCATATGTCCTTTATTGTAAAGAACAGTATTTTATTTCAAGTAGCTGTTTTTCAGATTTATTTATTTTTTCAAAACTCTATATTTTGTCCTTTATTTTCTCCCAGAAAATATAGTCACTGTACTCATAGTTAATAGGTCCTGATCCCATGTATACTTAACAAAGTTTTATATAAGGTTGAAGAATTTGAAGGTTGCGAAGGAAGTTATGAAATAAACTTTGAGAATGTAAGTTTTTGGGAACTTATATTTCAAGAAATTTTTTTAAGAATGAAAATTTCAAGAATAAAACAGATTTCAGAATAGTTATTTGTGTAACAAGTGCTGTAAGATAAAAATTCCCGGGTGCGGTGACCGCACTCGCCTTCGGCTCGTGTGTCAACTCCGCACCCGGGAATTTTCATCTTTACGCACGGCTTGCACACCCTATTTTATGTTGCAAGTGCGTGGAAAGTGGTCTATCACGCACGCGTAGCGTGCGTAATGGGCCACTTTCCATGCACGTGTTACATAATATTTAATTACTTTACAAATCAGCCTCATTGTTTTTCTCAAGAAACTATAATATTCTTGTTGTAATAAATGACGTATGTATGTTACTTATTCATAAAGATTTAATCATGACTCAATCAAGACTCAGTCATGATTTATTTATAACTGAATCATGAAACATACCATTCAAAACTTGCAGCTCTATGCCATGGCCGGTCTGATCTTGCGACTGTTCCCTAGATTTGTTATGGCCCGCCCATTTCTTCTCACCCTCCGATTTCTGCTGACTGATGGTTTGATTAGGTTCCTCCAAACATTCCGTGGTATCATATACACAGTGCAGAGCATGATTCATGCACTTTATCGTTCCGAAAACGGCGACGAATGACGAGCAGTACGCTAGCCAAACGTATAACGTTGGAGGAAAATACTGAAACATGAGATTTGCCTTAACAGACTTGTCAGAGAGTCCTCTTCCGCAATTGCCACAAAAAGAAAAGCAACAAGGATTTTCTCGTTAACAAGAAAAACAGAAAATTTACGTAAAACATTAAAGAAGGGTCTTAAATAATTGTAGATCAGGAATCGGCCGTTTCTTCTGAAAGTGGCGCAAACCCACACACAAATTTCGACAAATTTCCATTGGAAATTGACGCAACCCCAGAATATTCGTTTTGATGAGTTTTGCGGAAACAAGCCAACTTTGCGCGGCTTTCAAAACAAACGTCCGCGCAAACGTGGAGAGAGGAGAGGAGAGGAGGTATCGCGGGCGCTCTCTCATTTTCTTTTTACCAGGTAGATCGTGAACGGCAGGCAGAGGAGAAACAGCCAGACGTAGAGGTGGAACGTGTTGGAGAAAACGTCGAGATGCGGATCGTAAAACCAGCCGCCCGTTAGGCTCGCCCAGACGCCCTGCCTCAGGATCTCCAGCGTTTGCGAACCCATGCTCCCAGTGGCCGAGGTGACCGAGCTGCCTCACCATCTTCCCATAACGTCTTTTAACGCCTGACGATCCTGCACGCGGTTGTGCTCGACGTCGTCAGCTCCTCGACACGTCCAGACGGGCGACGTGACCAGACAGTGAGACAACGTTGCATCTTATTTTGTGTACCCGTTAAATCGATGGATCTGGCGCACACACGACTCGTTCGGGCCACCGCACCACCACAGACAACCGCGCGGATGGACATGGACACATCCGCGACCTGTCCCGAGCTCGGATTGCTCGGTGTTGCTCGGAAGGAACGGGCAAGATGCGACAGCGACGTCTTCAATGACTCGCGTGAAACGTCACTCGTCCATTCATTCTCGCAGTCTCGCTTGCCATGAAACTCGGACTGTGTATATTCATTATTTTAGTTACTGCAGTTGTTAAAATAAATTTCTGTATTATTAAAAAGATGTTATAAAGAATATAATAATAATTAATTCTGATATAAATTTATGAAAGAATTAAGAATTATATAATTGTTTTGTCGATAATTAGAAAAATATAAAAGTGCACAGATGATATTCCTTGCTACTTTATCAACTGTCGCTAAAAACTTGTTTTACCGACTACCGGTAAAGTCACAGATAATCTTGCCGTACAATTTATACAATCTGCACATGAATTTCTTCTAATTACCGAGAGATTAATTACTGGGCGAAATTTAAATCCTCAACAATGTAAAAGTATCAGGAACATATAATCGGATGAGAAGTGGCATTTACTGAAGTTTCAAGAATTGTTTGTCCCGAAAGCAAATATCTTTTTAAATATATCTAATATACTGACATGTCTGATCAAATCGTTACCAATCTGCCGACAGACTGCTATCATTTTGTTTATTCTTTATACTGGATGCGTGATGAAAATCTAAACTTTAAAAAATTAACAAAATATCAGACGTATGTTATGTAATCTAATAAAACGGTAACTAAAATTTTAAAAATTGTAACAATTTCAAATATGAAACTTCAAGTCAAAATAATTTAACTTCTCAAAATTCGACGAAGTATCAGGGGAACATGATTAAACAAGAAATGATATAAATTGAACTTTCAAGTATTATTTAAAAAGTTCCTAAATTTTATACACACATATAAAGACACAAAACATATACAAAAAAATAAAAATGTTTACAATATAATATTCATGATATATAATATGCAGCTTTATTTGTGATTCGACGTTCGTCTTTAATGTTTGTCGTATGCTCCACATTATATTCAAAGTCCTCACATGCGATGTTCAACAGATAATCGAATCTGAAACAAAAATAAATAACATTTTTTCTCATACATATTCGAAAATAAAAGATATTTACATAAACTGTTTATAAATCTACTTTTACAATTATTACAATTTCTAATTAACAATATAATAGATATATCTAGTTTATAACATATATACTGGAAAATTGTATAAGATACATAAATACCTATCAAAAGTAATTTACATATAAATTAAATGACAATAATTGTACATATTTTTGTGTTTTCTTTTTAATAAATAATGGCATTCGGTTTCAATCAAGATTGTTGCTAATAAGTCGAATTAAAAATTCAAGTACATCAATACTCGGAACAAAATTAAGTCGTACGATAATGTATCAATAATTACTTTAATTGTTCGCAGCTTGTCATCAGTTAACATCTCCAGGCCAGTAGACCTCTCCAAATTTAAGTAGACTTTTCCAAACGTAAGTTTACGTCCGCGTCTGCCTCAGGAGTAATCTGCCTTCTCTTCTACGAGAGCAAGCGTGGATTAATCGCGATCAACCACCGCTGCAGATCGCGACGTACGCTCTCGCAATCTGAAAGCAAAATCGCGTTAAGACATTAAACTGTCCAGCGGGGGTTCTCGACTTTCACTTATGTTGTGCTTCGCAATCACGCTTACGAAAAAAACTTCCCCACGCTTTCAAAAAAGCACTCGCTCCACACTTGTCTAGCAACTTCTCTCGGCGCAGTGCATCATCATCATCATCATCATCATCATCATCACCATCATCATCATCATCATCATCATCATCATCATCATCATCATCATCA